AACACACAGCCGTGTAATAATGAACGATGCTGCCTTCAAAGGACTTCAATGTGACCACTGTAAGGAAAGGGGACGTCTCCTCTGCTGAAAGAAAAATAAGCTAAAATATAACAATCGTTATTCGTGCAAACTTTCATAAGGTAAAAGCACATAATCAGTTCTTAACAGGTGTTTTTAATTTGAAAAATAAACTTTGAAAGTGTGATACTTGAGAAACTTTATAAGGAAGAGAGAAGAAACTCTGGACCTGAAACAGTGACAGTGAAATAATGAAGCATGTTTCTTAACACAATTAACTGATTTAAAAAGTAGATCCAATTTGCTAAAATATTTAAAATGTGAAAAACATTATCCGCAGCTCCGAAACAGTTTCTTTTGTGTTGCGTTGAATCCCATCAGAATCCGTTAATTGGTCTCCATCAAGCTGTAAAATAACCCCTCAATGTTTCATATTTAACTGTTCGCTGTGGTTCTGCCGTCCAGCTGTGGTTTTGTCTCCGGCCCCTTTTGATTCACATTTGACCTGCACATTTGCACAACAAGCCGAAGTTGTACATTCTGTCATGAACTCAACTAAGAAGACATTTTGTTATGTTCTCTCTCTGATATAAAGAACATAAACAAATTCAGTTATGGTGATACAGACGCACGGGTCGAGTGTCTGTGAAATCTTTAACCTCTTCGGGGAAATGAATACAATGGTGTTCATGCGGCGAGCAGATGTTCAGACACAAATATTGCATCATTTGAGCAGAATTGTGTTGAGAAAAGTGAAATGTGTATATGTGTGTGTTTAAACTTCGGATACATACATTTCACTGAGCGCCTGTGGATCTGTGCATCGGCATGCAGCGCTGTGTGTCTAGACTGCGGCTGAGGAATCAGCTTAGGGCCCCTGCTGTGGCTGGACGTGTCTCTCTCCTTTGTTCTGGAGTGAGACACTCATAATAAGCTTAGTATGAACAGTCATAACACCTTCATTGTTTTGAGCCAGCCCTCCACAGCTTCTCAGGCCTCAGGCGAGGTCAAGAGAAGCTGTGGAACCTGCACGGTCAGGACCCCTTAAGAGCATTTTAGAAAAGTGAACGCAGAAGGCGACGTTCCTCACAGGTACATGCCTCGGCTGCCATGCTCAGCCTGCAGCGCCCTGGTACCAAAAGTGCCCCCCTCTCTAACAGAGGCATAGTTCATAAAATCCAATATGCAGAGCTACTTATTTACAACACAAATGCATGCGAGGCGCTGCAAAGCCACTGAGAGATTTATGGTGAACAAAGATGTACAGTCGCCTGTATGTATATCCCAACAAACCGTGTGACCTTGGACTTGAAGTCTGACCACTTTGAGCTGCGCTGTTGCGGATCAGAAAACCACCGTTTATGTCGAGACAGGATGCAGGGATTTGTCCTTTCAATAATCAGTTACAAAAGTTGAGGGATATTTGAGAGAAACACAAAATATAAATGCAACAACAATCCTTCTACGAACAGAGTGCATCGGCCATCCCACTGTTGCTCAGGATACGCAGACTTAACACTGAACTTTAAATGATTAAAGGAATCGAGGAAGATAATTTATTGTACATCGCTAATTTAATGCCTGTAACCGCTGCCAGCAGGCCTGTCTGCAGAAGTGATGTACAGCACACAGAATGAAAGTGTTTCTACATGATTTGCATAATCCATCCGATCCATAGATTCAACGAGAGTGAAACATTCAACAGCTTAAAGACAGAAGAATTTTCTTGAGAGAATACTACATGATACTACATTTTGTGTTTTTTATTTATTTATTTATTTTTAATTTAATTTTTATTTATTTTATTTAATTTTAATTTTAATTTTAATTTTAATTTTAGCTTCTTATACTGTATTATTTTAGTTGTTGCAAGTTCTGCTTTATTTCCTTGTTATTTGTTTAGCACCAATACACCAAGTCAAATTCCTTGTATGTGTAAATCTACTTGGTAATAAACCCCGATTCTGATTCTGATGAGTTTGTGAAGGACAGGATCTGCAAAAGTGTTTAAGGTTTGCCATAACTGTCAAAATGTTTTTGTCTTGTGGCAGAAACTCGAGGATCGATGCCACTCTCATTTCTGTGCAGTTGGCATAACGCTCCAGGGAGCAGCTTGAACACTGCAACAGTTTAAACGGTGAATTGATGGAGTAACTTCCTGGAGGTTTGCGTACCATCACTGAATTAGTGCCTTCAAATCGGGGGGCAGAGCATCTAATGGTGTCCATGTTAATTCCAAGTCGTACTTCACGGTTTGTGACATGTCTGCTGACAATGTCGGACACAAACGCAGCAATGGAAGTTCATTTATTTTTGGGTGGATTTGGATTTTATTTATTTAAGAGTCTTCTTAATGATTTGAAAGGAGAATTTGGTGTTCTTGTCATTTTGTGTCCATGTTGTCAGTAATGTCCAGCTCTTCTTTCTTACAGCAAAACCCTTTAAAAGAGTCTTCTTCCAACATTTTAGACGACTCCCGGTTCATCAATTATTGTGAATATTGTGGAAATGTAAGAGGATATAATCTTCCTATGGCAAACAAGTGTTCTACACTTTCCGCCCTGCGTTATGTCGACATTACGCACTGATCATCGCATTGTGAAAAATAAACATTATTAATCGACAAATCCCCCCGAGTTGAGTTGTTTTGATCTGGGCTCAAAGAGATGCTGAGGGGTCAATGTCAAGGTCTGTTTGCAGACAATACATGCATGGAGGCAGAGAGAATGTCGGAGCGCCCTACGTGGGGTCCTCCGGGTGGCTTTATTCAATGTGTGTCACGCCCTGCAGCCCCAGTGTCGGCTATGCTGGGAATGCAGGGTCTCAAAGGGGTGAAGGTTAGGGGTGGAGGGTCCGAGGGGGTGAGAGGGTGAGCAGACATTGAAAACACAGCTTGACTGGGTTGTGAATCGGTGTGCAATTGATAGTGCACATTTGTGTGTGTGTGTGTGTGTGCGTGTGTGTGTGTGTGTGTGTGTGTGTGTGTGTGTGTGTGTGTGTGTGTGTGTTACATGCTGTTTGGTATCTGTACTGTCATTGTCTTTAAGCAAATCCTCATAAATGGATAATATCCGCAGCTATATGTTCAACATATTTACAGAACGCACATGTTCTTCTTTGTGCCTACATGTGTTTGAATGTGTGTGTGTGTGTGTGTGTGTGTGTGTGTGTGTGTGTGTGTGTGTGTGTGTGTGTGTGTGTGTGTGTGTGTGTGTGTGTGTGTGTGTGTGTGTGTGTGTGTGTGTGTGTGTGTGTGTGTGTGTGTGTGTGTGTGTGTGTGTGTGTGTGTGTGTGTGGCTGTGTTTTTGGAGAGGGCTCACAGACACGGACCAGACTAAGACTGCAGGGTTCGGGCCTGCAGGAGCGCTGGGCCTCTTTGGCTCGGCAGGGAGTCAGCTTGGGAAGCACAGACTCCATACTCACATGTACACACAACCTACACACAGACAAAAATACACTGCAAAAACTAGTTTGTTCTACTGAAGCTAAATGTGCATAATTTTGACACCTGACACCCGAGTGTGTTCCTAAATGATTATCAGTCTATGTCCCTACTTTACATCTGAACTGTGGCATAATCCTCTTTTCCACTTCTTTTTCTGCCCACGTTCACACACAGACCTCGGGCCTGTTCGTTCTGCTTTGTTTTCAAGCCCTCTTCACAGCAACGCTTCCTGGAATTGACTTTAGGAGAAAGTCAGTTTTTCACAGCGTGATAACAAGCTGTCTGTATTACATGTCAATATTTTGATAGCAGGGGCCGGCGAGGCCTTCAAGTCTACTTAAGTGTACTTCCATGTGCGGCACAATGTGTCCTGCTTTATTAGTTTAAAAAGACGATTTAGTTAATGAATATGAAGTTTTATTATTACATGAAGATTTGGATTTTTTTAAAGTATGCTCTGTCTTTGTGATTCAATCAAACACAAACTTGTTTTTGTTTGGCTGGTCCTGAGACGAGTCACTGTGTGTCAGGCTGCAACTGTTGTAGACAACAAAACAGCACATTGACAAAAATGCCATCAACAAAATGTTTGATTCATCTAGACAGCATGATAATAACTGTATGAAATATGACTCCAAAACACATTCTGAGGGGACATATTCTGTCTTTTATATCATTACGACATAACTGAGAATTTAGAAGAACATTTATGACAGTCTGACTGAGAATACAGGACACATGTACTACGTGTTGCATTAGCTTCGTTTTGTATAGTATCAACAAATGAACGATATATAAGCATGAGCAATATGCAAATGTGGCAGGATGGCAGGAACTGAACTCACTAGTACAATACTTCTTGGACTGCTTGTGACCCTGGAGTTTTACATGATAAACCTTTGGACAGAGACAAGAGAATATGTCTCTACCTGATTATGATCCAGCATATAACGCCAAGCACGTAGGTTAATCCTCCGTTTTTAATAGATCTTAAATTAAAAAGCACTTTAAAAAAAAAAAATCTGGTTAACTTTCAGAGAAGCAACCGGAGCAGACTCTCCACTGAGTTTGGCGCCCTCTGCTGGAGATAAACATTTTGTTCAGATTGACTCTGGAAAGGGCAGAGTTTTGATTTTTGCTCATCATGCTGTAACTTAAGTTTTATGAATATTACAAGATCATTATTTTTCTCTGAGGAGACATATTCAAAGGGTTAAAAAACAAACAAACAAAACGTCCATTTTAAGGGCTTTACTCCGCAGCTTGTATCTTTTTTTTAAATCTGTTTTTAAAACGTGTAAATCTTCTAAATGTTTATTTCGTGCATGTAATTGTATAATACATTTACTCCACAGTTCTTATAAGGGTAAACCTGAGTAAGTCCACCCGTGGTTGACTTTGCAAGCTAAGGGTTAAGGCATCCGGCGCGTTACGCACAGGTATCCCGCCAGTCCTCTTATGAACGGAGTCTGCATACTGTTGGAGATTTTTTTTTTTCTTTAATTAAGTTGATCATAACTGTAACTCAGCTGGGATTTGCTGTCCGACTAGACAGGCCACTGTAATTCATAGATCTGAAGTGGGTTTGCTCACCGCAGCCCTAATCTCTTGCTACTATTAAACGAGGAGCGACTAACCTGGAGAGCTCTCCACACCGAGACCGGTCCGGCGCGCTCCGCTCAGCGCTTTGTGAAAGCTGCATCTGATTCCAGTTGTTACAATTTAGTTTTACTAAAGTATAACGAGTTTTCGACTTTTTAAAACTTATTGGATTTCCAGGATTGATATTTTCCGCTCTGTTACGCGCCGGATATGTGGTGGATGCTGTTTCCCCGATGGATTTGGTTTCTTCTGGGACATTGTTTTACTTCACTCCTTTATATGGACAGCTCCCGCGTGAGAGCGATGCCCATGTCTATGGGCTCTGTGGCAAAGTTGGTGTACTCTCACGCGGGTTTGTGCCCAAACGACCTGAACCCGAACCTGTGGGTGGATGCGATGAGCACCTGCATGCGCGAGTGTGAATCTGACCAGGTGAGGGGACATGAAAGTTACAGTGAAAGTCTCAGTTTGCTGCTGAAGGCTAAATGTTAAGACAGACGGTCATTTATAGACAAAAAGTTCAACTTCAGTTGTGTGTGGTTGTTTCTTAAAATGTGGAAATATGTCAATTTTATTTAATAAAATAATATTAGAGGACATTTGTATGGAAGCCCATTTCCACCAGTTAAAAAAATAAAAATTATGAGATATAAAGTCATAATAATGAGATAAGTCAAAATAATGAGATAAAAAGTCAAAATAATGAGATAAAAAGTTGAAATTACGAGACTTTATTATTTTCATTTTTATTTTTTTTACCGGCGGAAATGGGCTTCCATACATTTGAGTCAAACAAAGCTATATGATTGTTTTAGTTCTTTGCTGTTTTCCTTTGCATTGGACATGAGTTGCTGCCTGATAAGTGCAGAATATTGTACTTCATCAAATTACAGTTACTTGGATTACATTTTACTTGTGAATAAACTGATTTACTCAAGTAAAAGTCAGTTAGTTCATCTCAAATGTACTTAAAGTAGCCTCCTGAGGGTGACTTGGTCGAAACTTAAAATATGATCTCTCGTTTCTGCAAAAATAACAAATGAAAATTAATCTCAATATGACCCTCAGCATTTAAACAGAAATAAGAAAACCATGTAGACAGCTCGTCTGAAATATGAACTTATTTCAAACAAGACCAACAGGTGGATTCTTGTAGGTGTAGGCCAATCCACAGGACAGTTCGTCATAGTCAACAGAGAGCTTGGTTTTTTTTTTTTGGCTTTTTGGGTTTCTTTTTTTGTTTTACCCAGAAACAGATGCCATTTAAAATGAAGTGTAGTACACAACTTTCCCCCAAATCTACTTAAGTAAAAGTAAGATTACTGCTCAAAAAAGTACAATAAACAAGCTGCTCATGGAGACTCACATTAGTTATTTTCTGTATTTCAAAATAAAAGTACAAAACTAAAAACAAGTTTCTGTTCTGTACACATGTTTTGTTTCTTTTCCATCTGCAGGACTGCGAGTCATTCGAGAAGTGTTGTCCTAACGTCTGTGGAAACAAGAGCTGCGTGGCGGCACGCTACATCGACGTCAAGGGCAACAGGGGCCCCGTTGGAATGCCAAAGGGCGCCACCTGTGACAAGTTCATGTGCTCTCAGCAAGGCTCCGAGTGCGACATCTGGGATGGTCAGCCCGTTTGTAAGTGCCGGGACCGCTGCGAGAGAGAGCCCCACTTCACGTGTGCGTCCGACGGCATGACTTACTACAACAAGTGCTACATGGACGCCGAGGCCTGTTCCAAGGGTATCTCTATCTCTGAGGTCACCTGCAGGTAACATGTTAAGTATTTCAGATCTCTACTTTTTGTTTTTTGGTGTGAAGAGGTAGGGTTGTCTTGTTTGCTCTCAAAATGAAGAATACATGTGAAGAACACAACTTTCCGGCAGTAGCGTAGCATGTTCTGTTAGCAACATGCTAACCTTTGAATACCTACCTACAGGTACCACCTCACCTGGCCGGACACCAGTCCAAACCCGGAGGAGACCACCTTACACCCCACCACGGCCCTGCAGACCACCCTCCCGGCCGACATCCAGCTCCCCTCTGTTCACGGCGGCCTCGCCCAACAGGCCGTGTTCGTGGGCGAGACGGCGAGCTTCCTGTGCGAGGTGTCGGGGAAGCCTCGTCCAGAGATCACCTGGGAGAAACAACTGAAGGGCAAGGAGAACGCCGTGATGAAGCCGAACCACGTGCGAGGGAACGTCGTGGTCACCAACATCGGCCAGCTCGTCATATACAACGCTCAGCTCCAGGACGCCGGCATCTACACGTGCACGGCCAAGAACGTCGGCGGGAGCGTGTCGGCGCACTTTCCCTTGGCAGTGATCGGGAGGGAAGCAAACGGTCGGAATAATGCAGAAGGGAACAGCACCAATCTGCCATTCCCGGCTGAGGAGTGCCTCAAGAGTCCGGACGCAGACGACTGCGGCGACGAGAGCATCAGCTGGTACTACGAGCCAAAGAGGAACAACTGCTTCACCTTCACCTACAGTCAGTGCAATAAAAACCGGAACCACTTCGACGCCTATGACGCCTGCATGCTGTCATGCGGGGGAGATCTGGCAGCTCCCTGCAGCCTCCCGAGCCTCCAAGGGCCGTGCAAAGCCTACGAGCCGCGCTGGTATTACAGCAGCACGCTCAAGAAGTGCCAGAACTTTGTGTACGGCGGTTGCGGCGGCAACGAGAACAACTTCGAGTCCAGGGAGGCCTGCGACGAGATGTGCCCCTTCCCCAAAAACCACAACTGCAAGGTCTGCAAACCCCGGGGGAAGATGGTCGCCAGCTTCTGCAAGAGCGACTTTGTGATATTGGGCCGCGTGAGCGAGCTGACGGAGGAGCAGGAGTCGGGCCACGCCCTGGTGACGGTAGAGGAGATCCTGAAGGACGACAAGATGGGCCTGAGGTTCTTCGGCAAGGAACCCCTGGAGGTGACCCTCCTGAACGTGGACTGGAACTGCCCGTGCCCCAACATCACCACGGCCGCCGGGCAACTCGTCATCATGGGGGACGTCCACAACGGGATGGCGGTCCTGCAGCCCGACAGCTTCGTGGGCTCCTCCAGCGCCCGCAAAGTCAGGAAGCTCCGAGAGGTTGCGCACAAGAAAACCTGTGACTTCCTGAAAGATTTCTCCGCCGTCCAATAAGAGTCTCATAAACTCTCTAAAGTCTGTCATGTTGTTGTTTTTCAAATCAAATCTCCAGTGACCTCATCAGTCGGACTGACTGCAAGATAACTCCAAAAACTTGTAGCTTAACTTTGACCTTTTGAAGTTTTGTAGCTCGTTTTCAGAAGCTCTTTTGTTCACACTGGTCAGTAGTGGTCTCGAATCTCCTCATAAATCCCTCGTAGCTTTTTCTCTTCTCCATCATTTCATTGTCCAAATAGCTTTTCTTGTAATTGGAAATCAAGCGTAGACATTTTTTAATGGCCGCACTGTCTGGAAAAGGCAGGACAGCATAATTACCAAGAATATATTTAATATTTAATCTCTGTTACTGCTCACCCAAATTATATTGCTTTCCTATCCAAATGTAATATCTTTAGCGCGTACTTAGCCCTGGGTCTTAATTTTTTTGAGCTTTATTTGTCTATAAGGTTATCACAGATATAGACCTCGTGTAAAATCTCTCTGAGCACCATGAGCTCGAAATGATGCCGTTTTGAAGCCTCAGTTCATGTCCGATAAGCTCTCTGGTTCCATATTTTCTGCATTAGGAACCTATTTGATGAGTCTTACTTTACAATACAGAGAATGTTTGTGAACTTCTGTACTTTGTATTTATTTTCCTTGATTTGTTTCTTAGAGGATTGTGGCCAGAACAGATATATTTTTTATGTTATCTATTATATATTAGTGTTCAACTTTTATTGAAGATGAAGCATAATGAATAAAGATGATTTAGACAACACAACACGTGTCCTTGCTTTGTGATGTTGCAGACAGTGCTGCCTTATCAAAGAGCTCACTTGATCCATAGCTGACATCCTTCCCAATCCGTCCATCCATGTCCTCCTCCTTCAACTTCAGTTTCACACACACACACACACACACACACACACACACACACACACACACACACACACACACACACACACACACACACACACACACACACACACACATCCACACACACACAGGGCCGAGTCTGAAGCAGGTCAAATTCCAGCCCAGCTGTGGTGGCCTGCAGAGCTGTGTGTGTTGTGTTGTGTCTGGGTCTGGGGCCCTCACATAGCACACACACCACCGGCCATCCATTGGCCTTGGGCGGCCCCTTTCATGTGCAAGAGGCCGGGGTGAGAGGGAAGAGGAGGAGGAGGAGGAGGAGTGGGATGTCGGCTGATTCTTTCTCTCTCTCACTCACTCAGTTGGCCACATCTGTGCTAAAGAGGCTTAATGAAGGAGGGAAAAAAACTCATGCTTAAATAGAGGGAATGCTGATCCTGAATGAACGCAAGTCTGTATGAAGCTTGATGCTTTAATTAGGTCAAGAAGCATAAATAAGGATGGGAAATTTCCAGGTTTTCATGCTTAATCCTCGTGGATAAGACATAAAAACAATAAAGGAAGGAGAAAAAAAAACATGCATGAGTATAAATGTGCAAATAGTTACACTTAGAGGTCAGAGTCAACTCAGGGTTCACAAAAGTAAGAGCTGCGGGGTACCATAAGAGAAACAGGAAACAAAGCATAAGGATCCAACTGGTTACGGACCATGGGTTAGTCCCCCCCTTCCCCCTTATCCCCTTCTAACCCCCTTCCTCAGCCTTCCTCCTCAACTCTCTGCCTTCTCAACCCGGCAGACAGCCAGCCTTGGGGCGGCGACCTCTGACCCCGCTAATGAAAAGGAGGCCACTGAGGAAAAGGCCACTTTCATTAAACCTGTCGACAAGTGTTAAGTGACTGGCCGAGCTCCAGACGAGCTCCACGCAGACCCCTTGATGCTATGCACATCACAGCCAGCCGCTGATTTGAGTATCAAGTTCACTTAGAGACCACCAGCCAGGCAGCCTGCCAGACAGACCATAATAATAAGCCAGACAGCACAGGCACAGAGGGGGGGGAACAATGCCCTCAGTGACACAGCGTCATAAAGGAACTCTATGTTCATAGGGATGGAATACTTTCTTTGATAATATCTGAGAGACAAAAACTGGTTATGGCAGCACATTGGATGTTCAAAAAGTGCACAGTGGACGTAGGAGTGATGCTATTTCATATTTAAAGCCCTCATCTACAGATTAATGATTATACTCCGATATAAAGTTATCTGCATTATGTTCAGTTTGTTCAAAAAAGGATCAAAGTCAGTGTTGCAAACACAAAGTTGTGTTTTAATTTATCATTTTAAAACTTACAGATTTGGCTTAAGCTGCTAGTTCTCAGCAACTTTGCAGCACATGCATGCACTTCTTCAGATACTTTGCCATGAGACACGTAGCATTCTTCAGGGTTTCTGGGCGCCATGAGAAGATTTCACATTGGGCTAACTCCATCACAGCGTCAGCCAACCCTGTGATATTACCATGACTACACCTCCTCCATGACACAAATAACCCTCTTAATAAAAGCTTCAAATAAAGGTTGTCCTCGTTCAGCACTTTTCAATACCATACATTTAAAAGGATACAATGGTTTAGTCGTATGATCCATACTGCTGTAAAAAAACAAAGCTTCAAAAATATGTATTTGTGAGTGAGATTCAGTCCATCAAACATGGCAAACGCTTCAGAACCTTAAAGGTGCACTATCTAGTTTTGGAAGAGAAATGTGAAAGTTGGAGAAATGTGAAGATTCTGTGATCTGTTCATAACTTTTTACACAAACTGTCCTCAGAGGAACATTTGGTCCTTGAGTGCAGTCGGGTGTCCACTAGGTGGCAGCACAATCTTTAAAAAGAGATCACTGTAAATGTAGTTTCTCCATTTGAGAAGACTTATCCCATATGGATTCATGCTTTTACTTCATTAACAGCTAAAAATTATCGAACACATTGTTTGAAAATGATTTCTTAAGTCACCTGGACTCAGTTTCTTATAAATTACAGTATGAGATAAATTATGATTAGATTTTTCCCAAGCCAAGATATCAAAAAATCTTTGGTCGAAAGATTTTTGTTTTTTTGAACACAGAGATCATTATAGGTTAACTTTATATTCATTTTGTGATTTAAAGGAGTATTCATGGACTCTGCAATTTTCTTCTTTGTTGCAGAAACATTGGAAACATGTTTGAGTCGGGCTGATTGTAAAACATGTGATATTTATTTTAAGTTATCTTGGTGTTAAAAACACACACAACCGAAAAGCAATGCTGTCAGGTAACAGTTATCTTTTCACAGTTCATCTCAGATCAAAGAGGATTTTAATCAATCTCCTGTGTATTACACGTGCACACAAACACACACACACACACACACACACACACACACACACACACACACACACACACACACACACACACACACACACACACACACAAATACACACAAACACAAACACACACACAAATACAGCATCACTTGCCAAATGAGTGCTCCCACAAGCAGTCAGCCAGATGGTCTGGTAGTTTGAGCCCAATGCAGTGTATGTGTGCTATACTCTTAATATGTGTAACCTCACACACACACACACACACACGCGCACACACACAACAACACACTCACAAGCACATGTGTACGCATGCACACCATTTCTAAAGCATCTTCACAGGGCACAGCTGGGCTGAGTGTTGGGTTAGGATAGAAATCAACCAGATGGGACGGGATGGAGAGAAACAGACAGGAAGATACAAAGTCATGAATTACCACAATAAAAATGTAGAATACCGGCAAACGACTTCCTCATACTCTATAAACCCGTGCATGCACGTGCGCAGACAAACGCAGAGGGCTTGCAGTCAGTACATTCAGCTGTCACTATGTGAGGAGTAAGAGCAGGAGTGGGACTCTCTGCAGCGACACATAGGAAACATAGGAACAGAAAAATGAAGTTTAAGAATCACACAAAAAGTACAAGTTTGATTTTCTCATATAAACCTTAACACACTTTTGACTAATGCACTGCGAGTCTGTTTACGTCATAAACGTGAAGGAGCGCAAACATATAAGGCCTGTAGGTTTGCAGATGTTTCACTGGTTAACAGAATGGGTGCTCACAAAAAACAGCTGCACAAGACGGTTTGGAGGGTGGAAGATGAGAGGAAATCAAAGAGCATGTGTGAGAATTGAGAAAGGTATGAAGTCAGGGGAGGGGAAGAGGAAGGAGGAGGACACAGAAGGCATGATGGGGGGGGCGGGGGGGGGGGCATGGGATGAGTGAACGATGAAGGCACAAAGGTCATTGTAGCATAAGGAGGGTGTAAATTGTCCAGAACATAAAACTGCTGCTGTGGACTCCAGAGGATTCTTGCCCCCCCCCCCCCCACCTCCTTAATCTTTGTGCTTTTCTAAAAATAGAAGCTGCTCAATGTAGGGGAAAACTAGGACGCTGTTACCTCTCATTCCTATACGCTCTAACCTCTTTATTTCCACCATTTAGAAACACAGATACTTGCTTTATTTCAGCAAGTCTTTAAGTTTGAATACCAGCTCAGACTACAGGGCGAGCGATGACACCTATTTCCTATACACATTGTATGTGTTATTGAGCCTTTCTACTAGCCTATATGATTACAGGATCTGGTTTTCTAGATTCTGCTTATTGCATCAAATGTTCCTTATTGCATTGTGTAATTGAATGAAATAAATTCATGTTTCAAAGACGCAGTGCACCTTATTATGGAAGAAATACAACCACAGCAGCGTCTCATATACAATGGAGGAGATTTTTTAATTTGTAAGTGTAACACGCTGAAAATGCTTTTTCACATTTTCATATTTTTTTCTGTCATTTTGTTATATCAGTGTGTCTAGTTAAACCAAATTTAATTTCCAGAAGTATTTAAGTTCATTTAAATTTCGAAGAGTAAACAGTAAATACTATGTGTTTTATTTACCTTTTAAGATTAAGACACTGCAGGTGTGTGCAGGCTGAAAAACGAAGCTTGTGTAAAGCTGTGGGGCATTTTCTTTAATCATTTTCTTCATTCATTCTTCATTTTCATTTAAAAGTTGCTAAAAGTGAAGATGGACGAGTTCTGACCGGTTCATTTCAAGGGTGCAACATAAGTAATGTGATTTAATTGTTTAAGAGCAGTAAGATATCATTGGCTATAGACAAAGCTATTATACAAACAGGTTCATGTGTTTGTGCTGCAAAGGCAAAAATAATCAAATGGCATCAGATGAAGCAGAGGCTCAACATGTAACAATCTCCATGTGCCGTCTGTAGCTTAAATAAAAGCCATGTTATCCAGTATGTGAAGCATTTTCACCTCATGCGATCACTGCCTCACAGAATTTAATAATCTGATGTTGAGAGGGTACAAACACGCAGTATGACTGATAGGATTTTATTCACACGTCATGCACACAAAGGGCCGCACGTTCTTCGCTTACAAGACTCCAGAATTATAGTTTCAGTGGTCAGAAATTCACAACAAGTCATTTAAAAAAAAGTTGCAAGTTTCATTTACAGCTCAGTATTAAACCTCTCCCCCCGGGCTTTGCCTTCATAATCATCTCAACAGAAAAAAATCAGGATTGAATATATATCCCTTATGTCATCATAGACGCAGAGGCGCTGCTTATCAACAGGCAAGGAAGGCACGTCCTCGGGGGCAATTATCTTGAATCATTTCACCTCGGTGTGCGATTGTAATCGTGCATCTCTGATCTCCACAACATTGTAAAAGAGGGAAACTAGATTTTAGAGGCTTAAAGGCTTTATATGCGATTTTTGATCTAGCAGATGTTGCCCTTGAGCACCAGCATGAAACCAAAACAACTTGCGCTGCATT